ATTCACAAGATGGTATACGCTTATATCACATGTATTGTTTTCCAAATGAGGTGCCAAATCAAAATCATGCCCATGCAACAGAGGAAGAAACACCAATTTTGCAGGATTTTTATTGTCTATGACAATGCTTGTTAACATTAGCACCCAATTACACATACGAACAAACTGGCATTGCACACCAGATCAGAAAGATCCAACTATCAGTGTTTCAAGTGAACATACTTTGTCCATCTATTATGTACATAGAAAATTAATGACTTACGATCTGATTGATGAATTCTGTCGAGCATCCCTTGAAGAGAGGAACACTTTCAATATATGGTAAATATAAAATTTGCGAAATCTGCAATGAAGAAACAACTAATTTTAATGATAAAGAAGTCTTTCAAAACATACTCCCTCAACCAGAAACCCATGATGTACAAACAGCCGGAATAACGCACATATATTGGATTACATGAGGTATCTTCTTTTTATTCAAAATCCATAGGAATAAAACCAACGAATTTCTACCGAGGTCTTCAATGCAAAAAAGCAACCCAAGTTTTCTATAAAAAGAACTAAACAAAAAACACACATGTACCCCAATAGGAAAGCATATAATGTCAATAGCTTTGGAATATGCATAACAGTTAAAATCAAATAATTCTTACGGAATTTATTGTAACTAATTCGTCAATACACAAAGTACACAGAGATCCTATGTGTATCTTACCTTAGAGCGAATTGAAGCAGGAATTTCCTGGAGAACAGCAGCCTCCGTGCAGGTACTCTCATATTGTAAACGCAAGTGACCTTTGATTTGATTACGGATATCCTTCCCAAGTCTATTTCTGTTCATATATTTGATGAGATCTGTCATTTTGTCCCCGAACTTTTCTGTCTTTGATCCTTTCACAATTAACGCTGTCATGTTACCAATCAAATACGCTCCAAGAATCATGTTAAAAGATACATAAACCATTATGAATATCATTTCCCTCAGATTGACTGCATGAATATCTCCATAACCTGTAAAAGAAAGAGTGCTGGTCAGGCATTAAACATTCCAACTGATTACATAAACGAATTAAGAGGTAACTTACCAGTGGCAAAATACAAAGATGTTGTGTAGCGCTTCCATAAGTCAATGTCCCTGAAGCTTGAATAACTATAGTCACCTAACTTCAAACTTCCAATCCATGTGTACCCCTCCTGTGAAGCAGGTAGGGTGGTGGCCAAATAGTAGAATATGCAGGCCGCTGTACGCGTGCTGTAGAGTTCAACGACAATAAGCTTTATAATCCTGGTAAACAAATAATTGATACGAATATCCTTTTCTAGGTCATGAAAGAACCTAGTGACTTTGCGCACCCGACATAACCTTATCCATAGGAGATACCTCACTTCCTCTCTTCTTCCACAAGCCTATTCCAAAACAGATTTCACAAAGTGAATACGGAAGCAGAACATATTGAAGGCATTATAGTAGATAAACTTTATTACTTTAAAAATCAAGATATATGCTTGCAATTTTATATTGATCTTATACATTCTGTACACCTGCCCGCCAATCTCATGAATCGGCAAAACATGAGCATTAACAAATTAACATTTTATGGGAGAAAGTGTCGATGGCCAAGTCACACAAATTGAAAATGGAAGTACCTTGTAGATGTTATCCCAAGGCATACAACCAAGCAAGTCAACGATAAAACTCGATTTCAAGTACCTGCAAAGGAAAAGTTAAATCAGCAACGAAATTAAAGTACAATGCCGGAATATATGGCTTGTAAAATCACTATGGACATTTGTTTGCTTTTTAAGTTTTAACTAAATTCAACAAATTCCAGTAAGTACTGAGAACTGCTACATAGTTTGTACAGTTAGAACCATCACAACGATCCTTTTTTCTATAAACAGCTAGATGGAAACGAAAACTAACCGTAGAGCAATCCAGTTGCGCTTATAGACCATTCGATAGGTGTGACTGTCTCGGTAGGCGATGAAGAACTGCAAAACAATGTCTACGAGGAATGCTACCTGTCCTACTACATCCAGTATAAAGAATCTATCCCCCAAACCCCTGAAAAACCCGAACTCAAAAGGTGTGAAGAAGGACGAGTACACTGCCCATAAAAGTATGAATTTCATCCATACCCGATACCACCTGCATTTGCTCTTCACATTTCATTACAGAGAGCGAAGAAAAATAAAACACAAAAATACAAGTATATATATAAATATGTATTAGTGCACATATACACAGGAGGAGGGAGAGTGCAATGCATGTCAGTATGTAATGTAGAAGTAGTTCATTAGAATGGCTAAGGGTTTTACTTGTTAGCTAATCTAGAGATCGGGCCGTTGTCAACCACAGGTATCATTTTGGCCTGCCGGAACACATAGGAGGAATGTTCATCATTTAGGCCACCGGATGCATTATATATAGGATTTATTGGCCACTTATTGGCTAAACATAACAACTGAACACTATACGTTTCAACTAGTAAACTGGCAAATATCTACGTGTTCGATGCTGCTGTGCTGAATAATGCCAGTGTACGATACTTTGATTCTGATTTGCCGACAAATTTTGAAATTTGCTTGCTAAACTAGAAAGAACAAAAAACTGACAAGATTAGTTGAAAATCCGATCGAAATCTTAACTAAATTATTGTAAATAAATACTGACACGTGGCGCGTTTGGGATTGGTTGAAAATCTTATCGGAAATCTATCCACAAATAGTATTTTCGGATAATGACACGTGGCGTTACAAGATTGGTTAAAAATCCTAAACTATAACTAATTTTTTTTAATTATTTTATAAAAAAATTAATAATATTTTAAATGGACTAGGTGTAAGCGGATTTTGTAGGGTGGAGATTGTTTGTGTCAGCGTATTTTTTAGGAGTGGAGATGCATATGGCCAATTACTATTCATTGAAGTCTATCACTATTTACTGGATGGTTTAAATGGGCTAGGTGCCAGCATATTTTTTTAAGAGTAGAGTTGCTCTTACCATGTTATTTAATTAATTTCTCATGTGGGACCCAAAATAAAAATTTACAATTAAATATTTAACGAGTGAAATCACAACTTTTGCCCTTATTTTAGAAAATTACTTTTTAGAAATTGTCTAAAATAATTAAAAATCAAATTTCACTTGCTAAATTGGTTAAAATTTTACATCAACGACATTGCAATAAAAATTTGACATGTAACATTGATAATTTGGATAATGGTAAGTCAAACTTGAACTCACTAATCTTTCTAATATTAACTTGTTATTCCATCATTTCTCAACACTTACAAATCTTAAAGATACACACTATCTTAATTTTTAACTTTTAGAACAATGACTAATAACATTTTACTATATTGTTGTAATAAAATAAATGTAAAACTAAATTTGGATTAAAAAGATCCAGCCATCCACGTTTGAAAAATCATAGTAAAAACGAAATGAATGGCCAGGATACGTGCGAAATTAGACTCGTAATTAAATGTAGATAGACAGATAATACCGATTTAAATTCGTTACTTAACCGATGATTATGGAAACACAATATTTAAAAGGAAAAATAAAACGAAAAAGAAACTGAAAGAGGAAGCGTCGTATCAGTTAGCAGGATGAATGACGAGTCCTTTGGAGAGCCCTCTGACGCCGTCGATCAGGCTCTGATGACCGAACCGCCGCCGCCAAGTCGAAGACCCGTCGCCAAGTCCTAACTCGTTCTTGATTAGATTGAACTGGCTCCCGCGCGACGATTTGATTCGGTCCCTCAGATTTTGCACCTCATACTCTTCCTCCTCCTCCTCCTCGCCGCCGTCTTTCGACGACTCATCCTCCGTCTCACTGTGGTCCTCCACCACCATTTTCCTCGACATTTTCCCCAAATCGATCAACAAACGAAACGCTGAACAGAAGGAAAGCGCGCGCAGATTCAAAATCACGAGCGAAGAAAATAAATGTAAAAATAAGTCACGAGGAGGACGTGGTGGTGCTAAATGATGTGTTTGGTTAGTGAGAAAATCCAAGTACCTTTTTTCTCAGGAAACTTTGCGATTCGCAAGTTGGAGAAGCTGAAAGCTCTGCAGAGCTCTCAAATCCACGCGTTATAAGCAAGAACTAGTAAAACACAAAAAGAAGAGTTCTCCCTTGAAAATCGTACCCTTGATTAATACGGGCACCCAACAACATTACGATCAAGTTGTTCTTGAGTGCTGAAGTTGCCGGAAATGCGTGTGGGCCATTGCGTTACTTGGATCAGAAGCAACGTCGACATTTTGATCCTTGGCTTCTTTCTTCGCCTTGTCTACAGAAATCGAAAGCGCCTCTTGCAGAGACGAGAAGAAGAGGAGAAAAAGGGGAAGAGAGAAGCATACAATTGCAGCTTGTCTGATATTCTTAGCTTAGTAGATACTTAATAAATAGTTGCTCGATCTTGTTTAATTTGTAGAATAATTGGATTAAAGAACAGCTTAAATCTATAGTGGAGAGTGCACTCCAAACGGACCCTTAGTAGAGAAAGAAACAAATAATGCAATAATAGAGTATTTTTTTTCTTCTTAGTGACACTCCGAGCTGTCAAGCAGTACTACGAAGTTTCAATTGATAAATTTTTCTTTAACTTTATTTGTATGTCGTAGGTTGTTTATGAGAAATTACAAGTCTACAACACTCATGATTGTCGCATGATAGGTTAAAAAAAAATGGAGATATCGGTTGTGCAAGACCTGAAGACGTTTTATGTCCCATCCTAGTTGGCCGGGAGGCCTGGGACCTTGTTCTACCAGTCGACTGTTTGAGCAAAATATTTCAAGTGACATGTGAGAATCTCTCGGCTGATGTGGTTGGTTTCGTTTGTAGGAGGACAACCAACCATACCACTACATTTTCGTCTCAAACCAACCAGATTACTGATCCAACAGTCACTTGGATTCTTAAAATTCAGAATTCACCTAGTAACGAAAGAATCAAATGCTGTCTTTGCACTTCACTCTTTCGTTCTCTGTTGGAAATTAACACAAAAACAATGCGTTTTAGTCGTTATGCTTACACCTAATGCAGATGTTTTACAAAATCATAGAAGGACTATATACAAAATAAAACTGTTGAATGACCACAATGTTTATGTAAAATGTGTCTCACTGACCAAATACAGCTTCTGACCATCATTTATCAAGTCCACATCAAGAATTTTACCTGCATCTTCTGTTAATATTATAGCGGAACCACTCGATGAAAACTCCAGTTGCTCACCTGCTGTTATGATGAGCTCTCCAATGGTACTCGGGACCCATAACACGATTCCAGGTCTTCTTCCGTCTTTGCTTTCCCATGGGTGGAAAGGGTATACCGTGCACTTCTTCGGGTGCATTTTATCTGCACATTACAACAGAAATTTCGTATCAACTTATCATGATAGCTGTAAGTACAAGAAGTCATGTATAGGAATGTTCATTAGGCCCTTCACAAGCGATGTTAACCTAGTTTCTTTTCCTTCTTTTTCATCAAGAGGTAAAACATGATGAAATCCCTTACTAGAAAAATCGATCTATCTGTTTTCCTCATTTGGCTACAATGGAGACTTTGTTGGAAAATTCCTATCCTTGAACCCCCAACTTGTTATTAAGTTCCATGTCCATGATCTATATCGGTGCAGACATAATTAATTCATTAAATCTTAACATTCATCATCCTATAACGTCATCTCCTTGGTGTTTGTTTACTAAACGGTATTAACATCTTACCGAAGTGTAAAACCTTCCTATTGTTATAATTTTCTTTCTAGATCTGCTCTGTAATTTCGGAGGAGAAAACAAACTAAAAGGTCACAAAGAAAATATAAGAGTTTGTCGATACCTGTGATTTCTTGAGCACAGTTAGGGAACTCTGTCAACTGAGCTGCCTTTGCTTCTTCCAGCAGTTTGATTAAATTCTTGTTCCCACACATCCGACCTTCATCTAGTGGGGTATTTCCCCATCTGCAGGCCGGAAAACGATTATATGGTTGTTAAAGCAAGAAGAAAAGTAACTATTTATAAAAACTGTCGTGAAAGAGAGAAGCACAGGTGAAAGAGGTTGGAGTGGTAAATAAGGTTGAGTTTCTATACTTCATGTCAAACAATACTAGGGAACCAGCATAGAAAAGTAACATTTTGGAAGAGTCCCAGTGAGCTTTTCTCAAAGATAAATGACATTTTTTTCTTCAAAAAAAAGATAATGACATTTCAACTGTACCTGTCCTTTGAGAAAACGCTAGCCCCAGCTTCTAACAGCAACTTTGCCATTATATATAGTCCTTCTGATGCAGCTACATGAAGTGGAGTCCGGTGATCATAATCTTTTGAATTTGGGTCAATGCCATTTGCCAATAACCTTTTAAGGAGATCTGCGTCCCCCCTTGCAATGGATGTACATATAAAACTACCAGCATTGTCTATGTTCAAGGAGGCCCCTTGTTCGATAAGTAAAGAAGAAACTCGATCATTCCCGTTCTTGATGGCTTCAAGTAAGGGTGTGTTCCCAAAATTGTCTAGAAAAGTTAAACGAATTATTATACTCTGGTGCCACGATTGGAAAGCAGTTCAAGCCACATAAGGATTGGTATGCTGTAAACATACCTTTGATGTTGATGTCTACTCCTTCCTGAATAAGGAAAAGTGTAATATCTTCATGTCCTTTTAATGCAGCGAGATGCTGTGGAGAAAAAATACACCTTTCAGACAAAATATATCATCATGTCCCGCATATATGCGCGCGCGCACGATGCTAAGTCACAGATATATTCACAATGATTAATATAAGAGTTTCATGGCATTTCATACCAAGGGTGACCTTCCATCATAATCTGTCTTGTTGGGATCAGCTCCAGTTCGGATCAAACCTTTTAGCTGAAATAGATCTCCATGGTAAGCCGCGCTATTTACCTTCAAAGCAAACTCAGCTTCTTGCTTTCCAATATGAAATGTAATGTCTGACTCTAGTTGTTTCATGTGAGGTGCTTTACCCTGTACCATTTTCAGCCATACGATGGGCACATAAGTAAATCTAATCAAAATATTTCCAGACAGTTGTAGGCACATAGAAAAAGGAACATAAATAACCACAGAAAACTTACCTCTAAAAGGTTGTTCAAGATTTTCCGCCCATCATAAAAGTATATGTCAAGGATGCTTGTAAAAGATTGTTTGTCAAGTCGCAGAAGTCTACATAATTCACACACCCTAACTGTATAAAGTTGAGGAATGTTGCAAAGAATGGAGATTTCTCCAAATGAACTGTTAGGTTCCAAAAGCTCAAGAGTTTCTTCTGTTCCATCTTCCCCTATGCCCACCTCCTCCTGTGCAAGAATAGCTTTGTTACTCACGTAGTAGAACAAACAAACAAACAAGCAATATATATCGATTTTTGTAGAAACTGGAAATACATAATTGGGAACTAAATAGCATATAGTTCAAAGCGACGACACATTATTTCCAGACAAACTTCATAAAGGTTTAAACAAACAAGTAACTGACTGTATGTTGATTTTTGTACGAACTCATTGATCCAATTTCCAAATTTTCAGATTTCAGTAGAAAAGCTAAGACGACAAGAAATGAAATGACAAACATGGCATTACCAACTAAATAAGACACACCACTGACCCTAGAGTATGAAATCATACCAGCACACCATCACAGACGAAATAAAGTTGATCCACGACGTTTCCTGGTTCCATGATCACTTCTCCAGGGAGAAAAAATTCTTCATGCAGTTTAATAACCTACAAGATGAAAAAACATAAGGATAACTCATTTCACTAATTCTCATCCAAGCAGATATATCCATGACCATGGAAGTTTCTACTTGACATTATACGTGGTGCTGCACATGAAACTTCTGACTTTTAGATACAATTACACCACCTACATAAAAGTGATGCCACGCTGGTTTTCAGTGTCCTATTTGGCATGCAGGCAAAAATATTCACAAGATGGTGTACACTTATATCACATGTATTGTTTACCAAATGAGGTGCCAAATCAAAACCATGCCCATGCAACAGAGGAAGAGGCACAATTTTGTAGGATTTTTATAGTCTATGACAATGCTTGTTAACATTAGCACCCAATGACACCTACGAACAAACTGGCATTGCACACCAGATCAGAAAGATACAACTATCAGTGTTTCAAGTGAACATACTTTGTCCATCTATTATGTGCATAGAAAATTAATGACTCACGATCTGATTGATGAATTCTGTCGAGCATCCCTTGAAGAGAGGAACGCTTTCAATGTATGGGAAATATAAAGTTTGTGAAATCTGCAATGAAGAAACAACTAACTTTAAAGATAAAGAAGTCTTTCAAAACTTACTCTCTCAACCAGAAACCCATGATGTACAAACAGTCGGAATAACGCATACATATTGGAATACGTGAGTTATCTTCTTTTATTCAAAATGCATAGGAATAAAACCAACGAATTTCTACCAAGGTCTTCAATGCAAAAAAACAACCCAGGTTTTCTATAAAAAGAACTAAACAAAAAACACACATGTACCCCAAAAGGAAAGAATATAATGTCAATAGCTTTGGAATATGCATAACAATGAAATAATTCTTATGGAATTTATTGTAACTAATTCATCAATACACAGTACACAGAGATCCTATTTGTATCTTACCTTAGAGCGAATTGAAGCAGGAATTTCCTGGAGAACAGCAGCCTCCGTGTAGGTACTCTCATATTGTAAACGCAAGTGACCTTTGATTTGATTACGGATATCCTTCCCAAGTCTATTTCTGTTCATATATTTGATGAGATCTGTCATTTTGTCCCTGAACTTTTCTGTCTTTGATCCTTTTACAATTAACGCTGTCATGTTACCAATCAAATACGCTCCAAGAATCATGTCAAAAGATACATAAACCATTATGAATATCATTTCCCTCAGATTGACTGCATGAATATCTCCATAACCTGTAAAAGAAAGAGTGCTGGTCAGGCATTAAACATTCCAACTGATTACATAAACGAATTAAAGGGTAACTTACCAACAGTGGCCATGGTTACAATGGCAAAATACAAAGAAGTTGTGTAGCGCTTCCATAAGTCAATGTCCCTGAAGCTTGAATAACTATAGTCACCTAACTTCAAACTTCCAATCCATGTGTACCCTTCTTGTGAAGCAGGCAGGGTGGTGGCCAAATAGTAGAATATGCAGGCCGCTGTATGTGTGCAGTAGAGTTCAACGACAATAAGCTTTATAATCCTGGTAAACAGATAATTGATACGAATATCCTTTTCTAGGTCATGAAAGAACCTAGTGACTTTGCGCACCCGACATAACCTTATCAATAGGAGATACCTCACTTCCTCTCTTCTCCCACAAGCCTATTCCAAAACAGATTTCACAAAGTGAATACGGAAGCAGAACATATTAAAAGCATTATAGTAGATAAACTTTATTACTTAAAAATCAAGATATATGCTTGCAATTTTATATTGATCTTATACATTCTGTACAGCTGCCTGCAATCTCATAAATCGGCAAAACACGAGCACTAACAAATTAACATTTTGATAGGAGAAAGTGTAGATGGCCTAGTCACACAAATTGAAAATGGAAGTACCTTGTAGATGTTATCCCAAGGCATACAACCAAGCAAGTCAACGATAAAACTCGATTTCAAGTACCTGCAAAGGAAAAGTTAAATCAGCAACGAAATTAAAGTACAATGCCGGAATATATGGCTTGTAAAATCACTATGGACATTTGTTTGCTTTTTAAGTTTTAACTAAATTCAACAAATTCCAGTAAGTACTGAGAACTGCTACATAGTTTGTACAGTTAGAACCCATCACAACGATCCTTTTTTCTATAAACAGCTAGATGGAAATAAAAACTAACCGTAGAGCAATCCGGTTGCGCTTATAGACCATCCGATAGGTGTGACTGTCTCGGTAGGCGATGAAGAACTGCAAAACAATGTCTACAAGGAATGCTACCTGTCCTACTACATCCAGTACAAAGAGTCTCTCCTCCAAACCCCTGAAAAACCCGAACTCGAAAGGTGTGAAGAAGGACGAGTACACTGCCCATAAAAGTATGAATTTCATCCATGCCCGATACCACCTGCATTTAGTCTTCACATTTCAGCACACAGAGAGAAGAAAAACAAAACACAAAAATACAAGTATGTATATATAAATGTATATTAGTGCATATATACACAGGAGGAGGGAGAGTGCAATGCATGACAGTATGTAATGTAGAAGTAGTTCATTAGAATGGCTAAGGTTTTACTTGTTAGCTAATCTAGGGATCGGGCCGTTGTCAACCACAGGTATCATTTTGGCCTGCCGGAACACATAGTAGGAATGTTCATCATTTTGGCCACTGGATGCATTATATATAGGATTTATATTTTCACATTACGTTCAACTAGTAAACTGGCAAATATCTACGTGTTCGATGCTGCTGTGCTGAATATAATGCCACGTGTACGATACTTGTGTGCCGTTTTTGAAGTTCTTTGATTCTGATTTGCCGACAAATTTTAAAATTTGCTTGCTAAACTAGAAAGAACAAAAAACTGATGACTGGTCATTGCAAGATCTTCAAAAAACAACACATTAAACATTCATTTGTCACAAGTCCAAAGAAAACACATTAATTTGTAAGTATTCACAAATCTTCGATGGAGCTCATGTTAGTATTGTTATATGGAGATGCGTGTAGCTTGTGATTTGTGAAGGTTTAGGAGTGAAAGATGGGTAGAGAGATTATTCTTCTTAGTGTATTTCTTTTTCTTTCCTTTTTTCTCGACTGGTATGTGTTTTTAAAGTTTTCATTTTCGTCATTCACGTTCAAACTCCATTAATGTTATCTACTAATCCTCCACAATTTCATCCATACATCAATATACGTAAGTCTTATTGTCCAATTATGTTGAAACTTCTATTGACAACACTCACGCGCAGGCACGTTTGTTAAATAAACATACGTTATCGCACGTAAGCATTTTTAACAAATGTTTTCGACGCAACTGAAAATATAAAGATGACACTGATGTGAAGTGAATTATGAAAAATGACATTGATTAATTTTGAGCATGAGAAACAGTTATTAATTAATACAATACTAAATTATAAACCTCACTGAGTTATACTAAATTCGGGATTAAGTGGCTAAGTGCTACCATTAGCTAAGATACAACTTTTAGTTTTGGCCAATTGTATCTAAATCATCTTTAGTTGACTTAAAATTGGGCTGACAAATTCATGAAAGATATAGATAACTACGACTTGACTATGTGATCTCAAGATTCAATCCTACATCGACCATATGTGAAAACCCAATAATTAATCAATAATTATCAGTATATGTGCTGATTTATTTATGAGAGTCTTAACGAAACATTCATGGTACTGTTCATTTTTAACGTTAAAGACATTTTTCTCTAAAATGTCACTCCTGATACTATTCACTTATAACACATTTTTTTCATTTTAGTTAAAATTCAAAGTTTTGAATTCATTAGTTTTCCTTTTATTTATTTCTGCAAACCTACACCTAATTTATCAAAACCCACTTTATGTATCTAATTATTTATTCTCAGTAATTATGTACTTATTTTATTTATTTAGTTATATAGTTTAAATGAGTGTGATACCAATATGAAAGAATGAAGGAGTCTGAGTTTGATATTATAACATTATTATTACACTAGTGTGAGTTCAATAACTGCTAAGAGTTTTTATTTTTATTATTTTTTATTTTTTACAAAATGTAGACACTTGTGAGTTTAAGATATTAATTAAACTAATGCATTCAATATTAATCTTACGCTCAAATTTTACGACTCCATTGTAAAAGTATTCCTATTTCAAAATATATTGGTATCATACTCTCTTTTCTGACTTACTGTGGAAGACCTTACTTAATAATATTGAGAGCCATCCGAAAATTTTGACACCAGAAAAACAAATAGAAAAGAATAATAAGCATGAGTTGCACATGCAAAGCAAAAAAACATAGCTGCTTTAGTCAAAACGCTGTGTTTTCAAATTTTTTCTTTTGGTTGAAGATTAAGCAGGAAAATGAAGATGGGGGAGAAGAGAGAGAGAGAGAGAGGGGAGAAGGGACGAAGTGAGGGTTTTTTTTTTTTTTTTTTTAACTTTTGTTTTAATATTTAAAAAATATTAAATAATTTTTTTTAGTTTTTAATAATATTTTATTAATTTTTTTTAATAAAAAGTGAGTCCTGAATCAAGCCACGTCAGTATTTAACTGAGAAATTCACGCCAAGCTAACGGAAGGTATAACATTGGCACAAATTCGTAAGATGAGGTATGACATTGTCAATTTTAAAAGATGAGGTAGTTTTTTGTACTTTACCCAATTAAATTTGATAGTCCCCACCTCACACAAACCAAAGGTTCAAATCTATCTCTCTCTTGAAGTCCATATTTGCTGCCTTGAGCTCGTTGGTTCCAAAAATATAGACAAATTGCCCATTTTAATAACTTTTTTTTTTCTTTTCTTTTCCTTATCAAACTCTCAACTCTCTTATTAGGCAACAAGGCGAAAAAGAACAATACAATGTAGAGCTCGGCAAAAAAAAAAGACAAGCTCAAAACACAAATGAAAAATGACAATCTTCGAGTTTTTGTTTTCATATAATCTTCGTTTATCACTTCATCCCTTCCAATCCTCATTTTTTCAATATATTTTCCTTCTATTTCTAGTACCCAAAAAATTATTTTATCAAAGATGCCCTTACTTTGAAGCAATCATGCATTCTCTAAACTTTAAATCTGAGTAACGTCATTAGAGATTGACAAAAACAAAAAAGTAAGCAATTTAGGTTTGACTTAATTGTAATCTCCATCTACATCCTAACATTTTAATTGTTTCATGGGATTTCAATCACTACACATCGTCTGACAGTAACATTAATTTATGGTTTTGCTGTTTATGACCTGTGAGAGTGAAGTTGCATGTCATATTCCATCCAGCTACATACGCGGCTTCAACGACATCATCATATCCACGTTTCAATTTCCTAAACCATCAATTACCTCACCATGTTATTTAATCGATTTCTCATGTGGGACCCAAAATAAAATTTTACAATTAAATATTAAAAGAGTGAAATCACAACTTTTGCCCTTATCTTAGAAAATTACTTTTGAGAAATTGTCTAAAATAATTAAAAATTAAATTTTACTTGCTGAATTAGTTAAAATTTTACATGCAATAAAAAATTGACACAGAACATTGATCATTTGGATAATATGATGAGTCAAACTTGAACTCACTAATCATTCTAATTTTAACTCGTTATTCCATCATTTCTCAACATTTAGACTAATTTTAAAAATACACGCTCTTTTAATTTTTAACTTTTTACAATAACGACTAATAACGTTTTAGTAAAATGATCATACTTAATTTGATAACTAAATTTTTCACTTAATATTACGATTTAATGATATTTTTCTTCACTTGAGTGATATGTATCAAGTTCGAATGTGTGTATGACAAGTTCGACTAATTTATTCATATAGCCCCTAGTGTTAGTATAGGGTTTAGCATATCGTTGTAATAAAATAAATCTAAAACTAAATTTTGACTAAAAAACTCCAGCCATCCACGTTTGAAATATCATAGACAAAACGAAATGAATGGATAGGATACGTGCGAAATTAGACTCTTAGTTAAATGTCTAGAGACAGATAAGACCGATTTTAATTCGTTACTTGACCGATAATTATGGAGACACAATATTTAAAAGGAAAAATAAAACGAAAAAGAAACTGAAAGAGGAAGCGTCGTACCAGTTATCAGGATGAATGACGAGTCCTTTGGAGAGCCCTCTGACGCCGTCGATCAGGCTCTGGCGACTGAACCGCCGCCGCCAAGTCGAAGACCCGTCGCCGAGTCCTAACTCGTTCTTGATTAGATCGAACTGGCTCCCGCGCGACGATTTGATTCGGTCCCTCAGATCCTGCACCTCATACTCTTCCTCCTCCTCGCCGCCGTCTTTAGACGACTCATCCTCCGTCTCACGGTGGCCCTCCACCACCATTCTCCTCGACATTTTCCCCAAATCGATCAACAAACGAAACGCTGAACAGAAGGAAAGCGCGCGCAGATTCAAAATCACGAGCGAAGAAAATAAATGTAAAAATAAGTCATAAAATCACGAGCGAAGAAAATAAATGTAAAAATAAGTCACGGGGAGGACGTGGTGGTGCTAAATGATGTGTTTGGTTAGTGAGAAAATCCAAGTACCTTTTTTCTCGGGAAACTTTGCGATTCGTTGGGAAAAGAGATAGCAGGAGACGCAAGTTGGAGAAACTGAAAGCTCTGCAGAGCCCTCAATTCGTTTCAAAAATACTGATTGGTTGTTTTTTTTTTTTTTTTTTTTTTTTTTTTCCTCTTTCTATATATAGTTTTTGAAGTGACTGAAAGCAGCGCACAAGAAAGTGCAGTCTGCACTTCTTTTGGCAATCAGAGTTTGAAAATCTGTTTGCGCCCTCGGCAATTTATACTTGCAACTGTTCTTTCCGTCACGATGCACTTCCAACAGATTACGTTTTTTTCAAATAAAAAATTAAACTTTTATTTTTATTATTATTTTATCTGAGGAAATAACTCGACGTGTACCGCATTTGAAGGTGCGGTGCCCAATCGATAATTTTCCCTGTCATGCTTCTCTTCTTAATAGAAGGTTATTGAAAATGTTAATACTAAGGAGATCAACTATTTAGATTAAATTTTGTAATTTATATGAAGTGATTGTTAATGACTGATTTATTACTTAAATGCTGATTAACGTGTTTATTTTTTATTGCTGACATCACATAATTTGTAAATTTGATCTAAAACATTGATCTATCTAGTATTACAATACTTATTGAAAATGTTATCTCAGTCTAACCCTTGGTATAAAATTCGATATATGATGTGACAAGAAAAAAGCAACTCTATAAATTCAAAGAAGAGGTTCAAACGGGGAATGGTTTATGGTGGATACCTAGGATTTAACATATGAGGAATCGGGAATGTGCGGTATGTGACGAACTGATTATTCCATTTGTAGGCTAGAGATATGTTGTTTTATGCATAGATATTCGGTCATGTGGGAGTTTCGGTTAAGTGACATAATTAATGGATATCAAATTTTGGTATTGAACTCATTATTCATAAGTGTCAAATTTAAGATTTTTTACCTACTAATGAAGAAGAATACCACAATACAATAATACTAGTAGCAACAGAAATTAGTGCTATAGCCTATAATACATAAGAAATAAACAAAATTAGTGACAACGAATCCATTTATTAAAAGATTCCTTCAATAATATTTTTGGTCCTTTATGATCCTTTCCATGTGTTTTGAGGATACTCAATATATATTTTGGTCCGTTTCATGATTTCCCAGTGTTAAAGATTCTTCCAGCGGTGATTAAATCTAATTTCAATTGTTTAAATTTCGAATAATAGCAGAAATTTTCATGTGTACTATATTATAATTTACGTGAAATAATAATATTTTGTGGCGGTGCCCTAATTATATCAAAAGGGATAAATTTGTACGTACATGCCATATATTTCTTCAGGCGAAACGATCACAGTTTTATTATAATATTAAAGGCTAGACATCGGAAAGAACATAAATAGGCTAAACGGTATATATTGTAAAATGTTTCTTTGGCCAATTGGTGATACTTTGAAATGGTGATTATTAAGAGCAAAGCAAGATGGGTGCTGCTGGCGGCTGGTAATTAAACAGCCAATAAAATACGATTGTCGTTTTCGATTAAGATTGGTTTGATGAGGTTAGCAGGACGTGGATGTTAACACAAAAAAATTAGTATATGCTAATGCACCTGACGGCTTCATACAGATACATATAATATGTACACACACAGACGGCTTCATACAGATACATACAATATGTACACACACATACACTTCACCAGTCCGATGTTTGCATATCAGTGCATTACTGTATCTTACCAAAAGATTAACAGTAAAGGAGATGTCAGGTCTAGTGCATTGAGCTAAGTACAATAAAGTGTCTATCGCACTTAGATAAGAAACTTCAGACTCCAAAATCTCTTCATCATCCTCCTTCAGACGGAAGGGATCTCATTTTGCATCTAGTGATCGTATGATCATAGGTGTACCCGAAGGCTTCACCTTATCTTTGTTAAAGCGGCCCAACACCTTATGGGTGTAGTTTGATGTATTGAGATTTCATCTGAACCGTGCTTTATCTCAAGACCAAGACAGTATCGAGTCTTTCCTAGATCTTTCATCCCAAATTCCGACTTCAGGTGCGCGGCAGTTTTCTTGAGCTTTTCAGGAGTTCTGATAAGGTTATGTCGTCAACATAAATTGCAACAATCGCAAAACGGAAATGTCACTTCTTAATGAACACGCAAGGGCATAGTTCGTTAGTCACATATCTTTGACTATTCAAATGCCCACTCAGACGGTTATACCACATTCTTCCAGGTTGCTTCAAAACGTATAGTGAACGCCTCAGCTGAATTGAGAGCGTGTTCCTATTGGAAATTTGCCCTAAAGCCAATCATATAATGATACTTTACGAACATTTCACATGTTAAACTAATCTAGTTTAATATACAGGGCAAAGTTTATTGTTTAAAGCTGTCTCATATAAATACTATATGCTTAAACAATAAGTCCAAGGAATATGTAATTGGGACAATGTGATCTAAAGAAGTTAGATTCATGAGACCATTCTTTTTCGTATACATATCCTAAATGTTCCTGATCATAGGATTGCTAATTGGGCATTGAAAGTTCGTTAAGATCAGTACATGCTATGTCTTCTCTTAGGGAGAGTGACTGGTCTCGAGTCATTGATGTGACTGACACCAAGACAAGCATGTAGGTGCTTAATAGAGAATGAGTCCACTAAATGCGATCAACAAGGAGTTCTCATACTCATGTCACATGAGAACTCATGGTTGGGATAATGCAAAGTGGTCATTTAACCTGAGGCATCATAATTGTCTTGTGGTTAGGTCTTTGATCTTTGATTATGTCAAAGTCACTCCGTTAAAGGGTGTCCACGACATAGTTGGGGTTAAGCCACTCAGCCATGGAGACAAGTGAATGCGCAACAAGGGATCTCTAACCTTCAAACCATTTGAGGGAGAATACTATATGATATGATTAAGAATCTCTGGCCAGAGTATGAATGAGAGAAGTCGTTCCAAATCACATTCAAGGTAATCATATAAGTAAGAGAACAATGTGGTCAAGAGTATTGTATTAGAGAAAGACCGTATTGCATTGTAATCCCAAACTGAATAGGTTCTCCATCCTCTTCTAATTAGCTTGGGTAGCCATGACATACTGCTAGGTGTCACTCATGGTTTGTGGAAGCCCTAAAGGTGTATAATCGCTAAAAGGATAATTGAAAGTAAGTTTCAATTCACAATTGATTTGAAGAGTTCTAATCGCCCACTACCTCGCTAAAGAGAACCTAATGGATCACACACCGTGTAAGGTAATGATTGAAGGATATAACGAAAATGAGTAAGGACAATTAAATAGTTTAATTGTATATGGCAAGGATTAATTAAAAGTTAATTAATCTAGAACGAAAGGTTCGTTTTAGGCCTTAAGTTAGTTTTGGGTTTCGAGACACACACTACTACGATACAGGCTATCCCAAGCAGAGCTAAAACTGACAATAAATCCAATTTCTGTCGAAAATTTGGCAAAAATCAGACATAAAACAATGTAATGTCGGATTGGAATAGGGACACTAATGCTAGCATCACGAAAGAACTTCAGTGTCACTTTGTACGCTTAATCCGCCACTACTGAGCGTCGGTTAAAAACGACACTCAAGCTAACGTCGGTTTAAAGTGACGTGAACTAATAAAATAAACTATATAATATCCAACCTAGTGTTGGTTTTATCCGACATCATGATAAAATAAACTAATAAAATATCCTTTAACCGACGTTAGATAACAATTAAATAAATAAAATATTCAAACTAGTAACACTCTTAATCGACACCACTTTTGTTGATAATAATAAAATTGTTTGAAAATCTGCACTCGTTTCCAATTAATTGTACCTAAAAAAAATTATATAACCAAAATAATAAATTTAAGTATAGGCCAAAACAAACATTAATAAAAATAATTAACAAGCAAAATAGTGCCAAAATATACAAATATTTTACATCTAACATTCCACATAAAATACAAAAACCGACTGTTGGGTTCCCGGGCTATTCGGTGGTTGCGGCTGAAATCTTTGCAGTAACATCGCAATCAATTAATTCTGCCACTGCTCTGATTGTTCCATCTTAACCTCTAGGTCCGCCATCCAATTATTAGCATTTTCTTCCCTCATTCTTAACTCATTATTTTGAGTCATCAGCACTGCCATTAAACTCTTAGATGACCTCCTAGAGGAATTTGATGTAGAAGATGAAGAAGATGCATAGGACACCATATCAGGAGTCACCCCATGACCATATCCTCTTACTCTATTATGAGTCTCAGGACCCATTGTATGAACATAAACTTGATTCCTAAGTTCTTCATTATCCTCTTGGCCCGACTCAATCAAAGTTTGCAGATTGCTCTCCATTGTTACCTTGCATTACAATTTTTAAAAATAAAAATTCAAACAATCGTAAAACAGATAAATAAGCTATAGATAATAAAAATTAATAACAACGAAACACTAACACGAAAAAATCAATTACCCCTGTACACTCCGAAGTTTCATCAATCCAACTTTTATCTTTTCGTGTATGACATTCACGAAAAAAGGTTACGGGATCTGCCTCTATGCTTCTTCTGCTTTATCAAAAATAAAATTTCATACAAACAATTTTAAGCAAACCTCATATTAAAAATAAAATTTCTAACAACTATAGATTATTTAAAACTAACAACATTTCTTCAAAATGTACAATCCATACAAATTCTTGCCGCACTCTTGCAAAAGATTTGGTTCCACTAGTATGGTTCATTGTTTTCATTTGTCTATTGATCTTATTTTTTTCAACAACCTGAAAAAATCAAAAAAAAATTAGACAAATTTAGAGTGATAACGAAATAAATCATAGCAATTACCCTTGTTTTTTCTCTATTCTAGTAAATCACCAATGCAACCCACTGTGCAGGATTCACTTCGCGAAGAAGGTGGTTGTGCACCTCCGCTGCTCAGTTAGTATAAAACTTTTTTTTTTAACTTATTTCTAAACTCTTTGTGCGCATGCTCCACAACCTTAAGCGTCATATGGCGGATCATAGGCATTTTTACTATTTCTGCATCTTCAAAAAAAATATTTCCCTACATCCATTAAAAAAAAAAAAAAAAAACCAAGCTAATCAATTATTATTACTATCATTGACTTGTTCTTCTATTTTCAAGTAAAAATATAAATATCTATACCTTTATGCTTTTCCAAAAAACTTCCTTATCTTCTTCCTTAATCTTATGCCAATCACTCACCAACGGGAGATTTCTGTGGTCTCTAACCTCCCCTGCTATATATTTTGCAAAAGCACTAGAATTATCACTAATGCATTTTCCGGAAGAATCAAATGAACAAAGTTGTTTCGTCCATTTAGGAATTGAGGATCCACGCCTCCGTTGAGATGTTCCTTATTAATACCAAA